GAATGAAATGTCTTTTGCAACAACTTGAATGGAGCTGGAGGCCATTATTCTAAGTGAAGTAACTCAGGAATGAAAAACCAAATACTGTATGTTCTCACTTTTAAGAGTGAGCTAAGCTATGAGGATGCAAAGGCATACAAATGATATAATGGACTTTGGGGACTCGGTGGGGGGAAGCTGAGACTACATATTGTGTACAGTGTATACTGCTCTGGTGATGAGTGCACTAAAATCTCAGAAATTATCACTAAAGACCTTATCCAGCCAGGCATGGTGGCTCATGCCTGTAATACCAGCACTTTGGGAAGAAGATGTAGGTTGATTTCTTGAGCTCAGAAGTTTGAGACATGCCTGAGCAAATGGGAAAACCCCATCTCTACAAAAAATACAAAAATTAGTCAGGCATGCCGGTGCATGCCTGTAGTCTCAGCTACCTGGGAGGTTGAGGTGGGAGGATCCTTGACCTCAGGAAGTGGAGGTTGCAGGGAGCCAAGATCATGCCTCTTGCACTCCAGCCTGGGTGTGACAGAGCAAGACTCTGCCTAAAAGAAAAAACAGAACATATTCATGTAACCAAAAACCACCTGTACTCCAGAAACTATTGAAATTTAAAAAAATTATTAAAAAAGACAGGGAGACTGTTGGGAGGTGCTAGTGTTGACTGCCTGGTTTAGGGTGGGTTGGTGAGGGCAAAAAGGAGGAGGTGAATTTGAGAAACATTGAAGACTAACTGCATGGCTGGTTCCAGATAGTCTTTCAGTGACTGGAAGGACTGAGAAGTTAAGATTGCCCAAAGGAAGGATGTTGATCCCCTTTGGGTCATCCAACGGTGGCTGTGTCCCTTCAGTTTCTCTTGCAGGAATGGACATTCTTCATGAAAAAGGCCATTTGTGACATTCTCCTGCCTAAGAACCAGCTGGCTAAGAGGTACCCTTCCCGTTGAGTGAATGTTTTTTAGCCTCAGGTCTGAAGAGCTCCTGCTCCCTGCAACATGCAGAGATTGTGAGGACCCATTCAAGAGCGCCTCAGCCTCCCTTTCCCTTTCCTCCTCCTGTTTCTTTCCACGCAAATATTTTGCATTTGACTTCTAGCTCAGGCAGAACCCATCCACCTCTTCCATGAGACGACTAAGGGTTGTCACCAGGTTGCAAATGAGCAGCTTCGATTGCTCAGGAAAAGAAATTACAATTTTATCTCCTTGTACTGTTCAATAAAACATTAGTATCTCAGCATTTTTATTTAACAATAGGCAACCTTAGGCCAGTAATTATGCAACAATTATAATCATAAAAACTGTCCCCTGCTGCTCACCTAGAAACACGAATATATTAAATCAAGACTAACCATCTAAAAGGCAAGCAGCAAAGCCCCCTCATTTTTAATGTCCCTGCAGTGCACCATGGGAAGCTAATAATTCACCCTCTAATTAGTATCCCTTCTGCTGCTGTTGGCGCAAGGACAGACAAAGAGGGAGCGGCTTCGTTACAAACTCGCCTTGGTAATCTTTTAATGTCGGAATGCTCTGCGGGTTGCCTGAGAGGAGCAGGGTAAAATGGGGTGTGCAACTGGGGACAGGCAGGAGCTCCTCTTGTCCTGACTGGGCACTCTTGCCCCAGCGAGCTCCACGCAGGCACCCACTGGCTCGTCTCAAAGCCCCTGTCTCTTGTAAGTCACTCCATATTTCTTCTTGGTCATCCTTCATTAAGCCTGGTTATTGAAAGGGATGGGAGTGGCGGTGATTGTAGAAAAGGCAGAACGTGAAAAAGTTCTGTGAATGCTGCAAAGCGCTAGAGCCTCTCCAAGTTGGAGATGTTGATGGCAATGACTGACCCAACTGGCTTTGGAGGGAGGTCGGTGGGCAGTGAGGAATGGACTTCCAAGAATGACTTTGCAGAAAGCAGGGCATGGTCATCTCATCACCTCCAGAGTGAAGATCTTGGTTATTTGCTTCACCACCACTCATTCTCTGGCCCCAGCCCAGAGGGTCCTGTATGGTGCCCCCAAGAGGGCTTGTGTGATCTGGTAGAGCCTCTTCTTAAGGACCACAGAGTCCATCCTGGCTGACCCTGTCACCGTGCAGGTGAAAAAAAAACCAAAGCCCATGTTAGGTAACAGTCATAGGAGCTTACACACGTAAAGGTTTTCAAGGGCCCAAGTGTCCAGGGGCAATAGGGAGTGATGGAGACCATGGTAAACTGGCAGTCATACACATTAATCCTAGGGGCAGAGGGATTCAGTACTAGCTGATTAGTGACACTCAGAACATGGGCCTAGCGTGGTTAGATCTTCTGGTTTTGTAAAAGAAACTAGCAATTTAGGTTTTTGAAGTGTAATCTTCTGAAGTAAGTGTTTTTGTTTGTCCAGATTTATATAATTAGGTAAAACTACAGAATTTTTAATTAAATGCAATGCATATTTCTGAGCCAGATGTGGCCTGCACGCTTCCAGTGTGGACATCTGGGTTCAGGCCCTGCATCTGTGGACACAGAGCCAGATGACATGGGTTTTCTTGTGCTGAGCTCTAAATCCAATTTGACCAGTAATTGGCCTTCCTTGTGCCTGGCCTGTGTGGCCAGCCAGTCAGCCCTCACTGGACAGTTAAAACCAGGTTGGAAGGGATTCACGGAACAGCTGGGCACAATTAGGCAGCCAGGATCAAGCCTAGGTTTAAAAGATAGGGCATTTTTCTCTCCATCACCAGCTCATTAAGCTTCCCACTTTGACAGCTGAAGCATTCCCAAGGCTGGCTGAAGCCAGATTTTTTTTTTTACTCCAGAGTCAACTGAGAGCACCTAAGATTTGGTAATGAGATTCTCTGTGACCTGAGATGGGAGGGCACCAGAAGGCTGAGTCATGACCTCCTGGGGTACTTGGACACATTCTCTTAGACCTCCTCCCTCCATCCAAAGAACTGGTCTGGCTAGAGGGAGACCAGTTGGGAGGTCAGAAAATTTTGCTTAAAAAACGGGGAAAGCTCCTAGGATTGTATTGGAGCAGGAGTTGCTGCCAGGGTCTTTTTCTGTGAGCCTTTACCCCATCAGCTTCTGGCTGCTGTCCCAACTGCTACCAACAGGAGTGTCTGCATTATCACCTGGGGCGGGAAAAGTCTAGAATAGGGCCAGCAGAAACCTCAGTGAGTTAGATCAAGGTTGAGGAGAATTCAAAAGGTCCTTTCTTGAGCCCCAGGGAACCAGAGCTTTGGAATCTATTCAATGCTCTGGAATATCTTTATCTCAGCTGCAAGGGATTCATTGGTTTTCTTTTCCTGGGGACTCCCTAGCAAAAAGAGAATGGCTTTTATTTGACCCCTTTGTTGTTCTCCAATAGCAAAAATGAAGCTAGCATTTGACCTCCTCTCATGGTCCGGGGAGGAGGCTGTGCCTTCATCACAGTGGAAGTGGCCAGGGCGGCTGCTGCAGTAATTGGGTGTTAAGAAAGCCGCCTGGGTGCTCTGTGGTCAATCTTTTGGCAGGAAAACGGAGCACTTTGTTCTTGGGGAATGGGTTGTTTTGTATTTTTTTTTTTGTAGTTGTTTTTTAGGATTAAATTTTAAAATTTTACAATAGATTTTGATTCAGGAGAACAGTAGCCATGGATAACAAAGGAAATATCTATCACATTCCTGAGTTCTTGCTTCAAATGCCTACTATCCGGGAGAATGGAGGGGGACTCCAAAGTAATATTTATTTACTCTGTTATTAGGGTTTCAGTTATACTTTCTCATTGAGCAATGGATGTCGATATCATCCCCATTTTCAGATGAGGCAACTCAGGCCCACAGAGGTTAAGTAACTTGACTCGGATCACATAGCTGATAGGAGGCTAAAGTCAAGTTTCCAGTGTATGTACAGAAGACTCTAATCCATGCCCTCACACCATCCTGGGCTTTCTTCCTGCTTTTCAGCTAAGTTTGGTGGTTTTCAACTCAGAGCACATTTCTGAATCAGATTCCCATCCCTCATCCCAAAATTATTGGGTCACAATAAAAATATACTGGGAGCCAGGTATTCATTTTTTCATAAGTCCTCACAGGTCCTCTGGTGCACACTACCAAATAGCAGTGTAGAAGGACACGGGATCTGGAATCTGGAGACCTGAGTGTGAGTCCCGCCTCGTATCCCTTCTCCCCTCTCAGCCTCAGTTTGTCATCCTAAATCCAGTTCAAAGAATGCATTAACATGAAGGTTGTCTGAAGAGTCAAATAAGATTCCACACATGTAGGTACTTTGAAAACTCTGGAGTTGCTATGCAAATGTTAATCATTATTCCTGTAGACACACTGAGTATCAGGCCCAGTCTTTCTCTCCAGAATTACGCAAGTTCAGGGTCACACTGGAACTCTTAGTCAAGAGCCCTTATTTGAAAATCTGACAATCCAGAGTCTTCTTCCTGCACAGTTGTTTGTTGATGATTAAATTATTGTAAATTAGTTCTACTTGTAGTATAATAAATGTCATTAGCATGACTAATCACACACCTGATTATACAACCCACTTCTCCTCCCCCAATGTATTTTCTGCATCCTACATCCAATAAATTGTGTAAATGTAGAGCTCTTGTTAGGGCTGATGAATGGGGTATGGGGATATCAGCTGGCCGTGTTCTCTGATTCCTTCTATGACTGGAAAGATCTTTCAAGAGTGGCTGTGCACAGGGGAAAGATCTTTAGGTACCACGTTTGCCCTTGTTGACTTCGCTTCGCATCCAGGCATCACCATTACTGTTGTTGTTTAGTTACTAATACTGCTGGCACCTTTTTTTTTTGAACTCACTATGAATAAGGTGAGCCCCTTTATGCTCATTATTTTATTCATTGATGTATAATTTGTTTATTCCTTAAAGGAATCTTAAGAATGCTGAGGGTCAGAGAAATTAAGTAACTTGCCCACATCATCCTCTTAGGAAGTGGTAGAATCGGGGTTTGTGTTCGTGTCTGTGTGGTTTGAAGGCTGATGCTCACACTGTCTTCCACGTGAGAAAAAGAAATTAGCTAAAAGCGCCCCTGAGGAACAAGATGGCGCCGCCGGTGCAGGTCTCTCGGCTCATCAAGCTCGGCCGCTACTCCTTCTTGTTCCTCGGCATGGCCTACGGAGCCACGCGCTACAGTTACCTAAAACCTCGGGCAGAAGAGGAGAGGGGGATAGCGGCAGAGGAGAAGAAGAAGCAGGATGAACTGAAACGGATTGCCAAGGAATTGGCAGAAGCCCAAGAGGACACCATACTTAAATGAGTGACCCTCTCAGCCTCTCTTTGGAGCCGCAGCAGATGAATAAAGCTTCCTGGGTTGTACTATATAAAAAAAAAAAAAAAAAAAAAAAAAAGCCCCCCTGCTGGTAGATTTGGGGCTTGAGGAATGGTGGAGATGGGTAAACCCAAGTTTCAGGGCCGGAAAATGTCTTCTCTTTGGTTACCTGGCTCACTGGCTGCTAGGGAGGTGGAGTAGCTGGTGATGTGGTGATGCTACTGGCAGTAGTCATGGCCACAGCAGGTGGTGGTGATAAGAAAAGGCAGTTTCCAGCTGCAGAAAGAGGACAGGAGCTTAATGAGAGGACCTATGTTCTGGTCTCAGCTCTGTCTCTTATTTTCTGCTTGCCCCTACGCTTATCACCTAACCTGTCTGGACTTCAGTGTTCTTATCACAGGGCTGTTTTAGGATCAAATGAAATTAAGGTTGTGAAAGCAATTTGCAAGCTGTGAAGTGATTTCCATATGCAAAGAACTATTTTTAACCTTCTCGGTGAATGAGGATACCCTGAAGTCTTAAGTCTTAAGACTCTGAAGACTTGAGTCTTTCTACAAGTGGAGATCCACCTTCCAGCTAAGCAAGTTGGTGGATGGAGGGTGGTCAGGGGCATGGTTCAAGTATATATGAGGATGCCAATGCTGGAGAGGACCCTCACCCCAAAGGCCCTTCCTATGACCTTGATCATATGAATGTTCTGTGCTTTACAGAGAAGAGGCATTCTTGAAAGAACATTTCTGTAAAGATAGTAAAAATGAACATTCTAAATTTGCATGCCCAGCAAGCAGAGCTGTTTTTCTGCTTGGTACTATAGCATCCAGTTCTAAAGAGAAAACTGAGGCCAGGTGCAATGGCTCACTTCTGTAATCCTAGCACTTTGGGAAGCTGAGGTAGGCAAATCACCTGAGGTCAGGAGTTTGAGACCAGCCTGGCCAACATGGGGAAACCCTGTGTCTACTAAAAATACAAAAATTAGCCCAATGTGCCTGTAATCCCAGCTACTCAAGAAGCTGAGGCAGGAGAATCACTTGAATCTGGGAGGTGGAGGCTGCAGTGAGCCGAGATAGTGCCTCTGCACTCCAGCCTGGGTGACAGAGCAAGACTCGGCCTCAAAAAAAAAAAAAAGAGAATTCATTGGGCAGCTGTAGGGGGCAAGCAACCCTGGGTGGAAAGCTGTTTAGAGCCCGCACACTGTCCACTGTCCAGGACAGGAGCACAGGTGCCTGTCCCAGGTATTGTGTCCTTGTCCTTGTTTTCACAATGTAAAGAAACTGTTAGTTTTGGGCTGAAGGGCAGAGGGCAGCAAATAACAAGCTGTCCATGGTAGCCACAGGTCTTCATTGCTTGACTCAGTCTGGCAGGATTAACTCTCTAAACAGGAATATGAGAAACTCACAGTGCTGGAAGGTTCCTCAGGGTGGATCTTCACTGGCTTTGACCACTGTGGGGCATGTGTGCTGCTCCACCACTTCATCCTCTTCCCTCTTCTTCCCTGCCCTTGAACATGATATATATCACTAACTGATAATAGCATTCTTTCCTGTTTTCCTTCAGAACTTTTCAACGATTCCCACTAAGTATCTATCTGCAATAAACTGGAGTTGGCATATTTAAAGAAACCCAGTTGCCTCTGGTGCGAATCAAACCACTTGTTGTTAAGAAAAAGGTCTCAAATCCCAGAGATGGAAGATTTGTTTAACATTACTGGTAGAATTAGAACCAGAAGAACTCCTGACTTCGTTTTACATTCTCATAACTTGAGTCTCTTTTAAACTTGTCTTGGTATATGACTGAATCCACAGTCATCTACCTATTAATTATTTAATAGGCCCCTTAGGTGGCCACCTATGTTGTGGTAAAAGGAAAGATGAGAAGTGATGTGTTTGAAAGTTTGTGTCCCCTGCAAATACACTTGCCAAAACCTAGGACCTGATGCAAAATGGCTGGGGATGGTAGCTCATGTCTGTAATCCCAGCATTTTGGGAGGCTGAGGGTCGCTTGAGGCCAGGAGTTTGAGATCAGCCTAGGCAACATAGTGAAACCCTGTCTCTACCAAAAACAAAACAAAACAAAACAAAAAAACAAACATTAGCCAGGCATGGTAGCATGCATCTGCAATCCCAGCTACTTGGGAGGCTGAGGTGAGAAAATCACTTGAGCTCAGGAGTTTGAGGCTACAGTGAGCTATGATATCACCACTGCACTCCAGTCTGGGTGACAGAGCCAGATCCTGTCTCTAATAACAACAACAACAATAATAATGATAAGAGGGGGGCTTTTAAGAGGCATTTAAGTCATAAAGGCTCTGCCTTCATGAATGAGATTAATACCTTGTAAAAGGGCTCAAGGGAACCAGCCAGGCTCTTTTTTTGCACTTCCATCTCGTCTACCATGTAAGGACACAGAATTCTTCCCTTTCTCCCTTTTACCATATGAAGACACAGCCAGAAAGTGCCATCCTGGAAGCAGAAAGCCGCCCTCACCAGATGCTGAATCTACTGGTGACTTGATCTTAGACTTCTCAGCCTCTATAACTATGAGAAATAAATTTCCCTTAGTTAAAAATTACCCAGGCTGTGGTATTTTGTTATAGCAGCAAAAATTTTGTTATAGCAGCAAAGTATATTAGTCTTCTACTGTTCCATAGCAAACCACTCCCTAAACATTTAAAAACCGTAATATTTATTATCTCACATGAGTTTGTGGGTTGAGCGGCAGTTCTGTTGCTCTGGGCTCAGCTGGGCTGCTCTCAGCTGGACTTGTTTATGCATCTGCGGTCAGCTGGGGGGTCAGGTGGGGCATGGCTGGTCCAGGACAGCCTCAGCTTGGACAATGTGTCTCTCCTCCACAAGCCCCATCATCCTCCAGCAGGCTAGCTTGGGCAATGGAAGGCGCTAAGAGTACAGGTGGAAGCACGTGTTGTCTGTGGAGGCCAAGGCTTGGGACTGTCATGATGTCACTTCTGCCATGGTCTATTGTCCAAAGCAAGTCACGAACAGGACTGAGATTCGGCTGAGGGAATCAAGGCACCTAGGGAACACATGTTAAGGAGACACTCCCTCTTAGATGCTGACCTTGCATGACCCTGCATGTGAACAGCACCTCTTTAAAATTTTGAGCCTCAGGAGCCTTGATTGCCTCACCCTGGACTCAACCCTGGTTAAAAAGGTTAGCCCAGATTTCAGGGATGAAGAAACAGACCTCACCTCTTAATGGGAAGAACCGTGAAGACACATTGCTAAAGGTATCAGTACCCGGACAGGAAGAAGCAAGGCCTGCCATGCAATCAACCGGCAGAAGGGCGTTGCAGAATCTCAGTAATCACAGTAGATCTACAGCTTCGCAGAGGGAGCTCACCTGAAGTTCACATTCCTTAACTTTGTGATTTCCTCCACCTTCTGCGTAGCTAATTATTTCCAAGAGGTCCTTGTTCCATCTCCATTTTCTCATTCCTAAACACTTTCTAAACAGTCCCAGGACTGCACTAGTTCAAGTTAACTGCAACACTACAAGGCCCTCAGCACACCTGGGTGTGGTCTGACACACTCTCAAAGTAAAGTAAGGGCAATGGGGTCAGTGTTGGGGCCAGGAATACAAAACACAGTCTTGGATTTTAGGTCTTCTGAAATAATAAGCATAACTACCAATTACTTTAACATTGATTGGCATGACACTTTTGCACAAAGTCAAAGATTATTTTTACAGTATGTGTGGCCTCAATGTGTTTGCTAAATCTAGGCTATATGCTTTCTCCAGTAGGATTCTAGGAATATAAAGAATTTAAAGGTTTTCAATTGGGGGATTTTCAAAGGAGACAGGTTTCAGAATGCATGTTTATATCTGGACCTAAAAATGTAAACTTTTGGGGGCCAGAGGTATTGTCAATAGAATCAGCATTTGGCTTCATGGCTATGGCAGGCAGAAGCTGTTTTCTATGTGAGGGTAGAAATCCAGCCACCGGATGCATTGTTATCACAGCTGGATCTAAGGTAGCTCTTAAGTGAAGAGCATCAGGTTGCATCGATGAAGTGAAATTGACTAGACCACTTGCTCAAGTAATGGCATCAGCCTATGGTGAATGTCCAGGATCTGGGTCCTGCATCCAACTTTGATCTATTTGTCAAGAAGGCGTCTCTGCCACCCCACTCTCTGACTTCTAAGGTAGGCCTGATAAAAACCTGTCCAAAGCTGCACTCTGATCGTGTCACTTTCAGTGGCTGTCCACTGCCCCTGTGCACCTGGCCCAGATCCTTCTTTCTGGTGACATGTGTTTCCTGTGTATAGAACATGCTGCAGCCACGCTGAACTTGCCTGTTACATGTGCCCATGTCCTCTGCTCTCCCTCCACCATGCCTCTACTCAGTCTGTTTCCGCTCCCTGAGGTATTCCTCTCTACCTCTTTAAGTCCCGCTTCTATCAATATGTTAAGGCATCAATTAGTTTCCATCTCTTCCGTGAAGTCTTCCTTCATCTCTTTACAAAAACCCTGTGAGATTCCGTGACATTTTGGGAGGTATTAAGAATATGGTTAAGGGCGAAGCCTTAGGAGGGAAATGGCTTAGGATCAAACACCGGTTTCATTACTTACTGGCCCTGGACAATGTTCTCAACTCCTGTGTGCCTTCACTGGTTGTCAAATGGATTACAAATATAATTACTTTGTAGGCTATGGTGAAGATTAAATATTTAGTTATACATTAATATCCAAGAAGGCCTGGTATATACTAAGAGTCAATTTTTATTATTGTTATTTAAAAATAACTAAAAATAGTTATTGAGTATCTATATGTTACATGTTCCCAGTCTATACGTGCCCATGTTATGTGAGGCATTGCAGATATAGCAGTGAATAATGGAAGCTACCCTGCTTTGTAGAGCTTAGAGTCTAACAGGTAACAAATGCCAATTGAACCCTGCATTTTGATCTTGGCCTATTGATTTCTCCTTCTTTTCTAGACCCTAAGGGTGTGGTTATTGTCTTATATTTTCCTGCAACTTTTGAGTGTCCAGCGCAAAGTCTTATGAATAATAAGTGGTCATCAACGAA